CGTGGTGCGCGAGCTGGTGCGGCGCGCGCAGGCCGAGGGCGAGGGCGAAGGCGAAGGCGTGCACGTGCTGCCCTACGTGTACGTCGGCGTGTCTGCGCGCCTTTACTTCGTCGATGTGCTCGGTACGTGGCCACGGGATGTGTGTGTGTGTGCGTGTGCGTGTGCGTGTGCGTGCGTGTGCGTGTGCGTGTGTGTGCGTGTGTGTGCGTGTGTGTGTGTGTGTGCGTGTGCGTGTGCGTGTGCGTGCGCGTGCGCGCGCGTGCGTGCGTGCGTGCGTGTGTGTGTGTGTGTGTGTGTGGGCGCGCGCGCGTACACGTACACCTACGTGCGTGTTGGGGATTCTCCTACAGTGGCGAATTCAGAAAGGACTTCAAGAGCAAGGGCAATTCTTGTTAAGACCCTCTGAATATTTTTGAAGCCATAGTTTTTTTTTAATTGCGTACAACAAGAATGTAGCAGGATTTTCGTAATTGGAATACTGTTTCAAATGTCGAGATCAACGTATAGTAATCATTATGAATAAATTTCAGTAAATTTCTTGAAATTTGGCTCTGAGAGGGTGTATTCCCTACTTGCTCTCCCCTAAATCTGCCACTGTTCTCTGTAGTGAGTTCTAGTTCGAATGAATTCTGCTTGAATACGAATTATGTAGTCCTTGCTAGAGACACAATCCCGAATCCACTTAATGATTTTAAACTTTGAAATATTCGAATCAAGTATAATTTGGAAAAGAAAATGTTTCAGAGAGCTTTCTTCGGATTTATTTAGCCTGTATAATGAAACGACTTGAAATAATTATGAAACGATAAATAATCGAAAATATTGCAAGTGAATTTCATAAATATTATTTTATGAAATATTATTTTATTATTATAGAATTTATTCACACGTTGTTAGGCTAAAACATTTAAATTTCGGAGTTTATGTTTGACCTTACCAATTGCAGATCATTTGCATTTTCTACATTGCTGATTTGATTTCAGAGTTACCGTAAAGTCATTAGAAGTTCTTAATTTGAGCGTTTTAGAATACTTATAAAATCCAAGAAGAACATAAAACGTATCTTCTATTTATTTAAAAGAGAATTTCAAGAGCGTTACCAGTTCTTCAAAACGATTTTAAAAAGGTGAAACTATCTTTGCGAGACACCACGCAATAATTGTATTTAATATTTCAATGCATTTGTAAAACAATTATTTGCAGAAATAAAAAAATAACTTATTCTGAACTCAATTTATTTCGTTATCTCACTTATTGTAAACTTCACGCCAAAAATATGGTCTGTAAGCAATATTTTTGCACTATAAATGAATGAAATTACAGAACAATTTTAATTTAATTTGAACCATTTTTGCAGGTCGACCTCTGTCAGAAGCTCGTTACGACCTTTGGGCCACAGGTTATCCAGCTTTCAAGAACTGTGTTGCAGTCAATCACAATGGCACTCTTTGGGTAACCCAATGCTGGGCGAAATATCCTTTTTTGTGCGAATATGACTCTTCTTAATTTTCTTAGTGTACGTAATAGACATTGTTCTTTGTGTTTCTTTACTACAATTATACATCGTCAATGTTTTCTAAAAGAAACTAAAACAATAAACTACTTTTTAAGTACAATGTATGCTTGTCATTTCATAGATATGTGTGGCCTAGTGGACGGCAGCAATAAAAATTCTGTAACAAAACCTCGCAAAATGGTTTTCCAAAAAATAGCCCTCCCACTGCTCAAGAACAACACACAAAATATTCTACACTGCAATAAGTTAAACATTTTAACAAAAACAGTCTTCAGAAATACTGCAATGACGTAGTATAGTTTATACACAGTACAACAGTTCTTTACATAGCAAGAATGCCAAGAACTTAGCTCCTGCATAATGTGAATACCAAAAAAAAATGGAATGCGGTCTCTCTCATGGAGACTTGCTTTGGGATGTCTTCTGCGTCCTAAGTGGAGACGTATTGGAGAGAGTAGGAAAAGTGACGCAGTGGGAGAAGAGGCATAATTACACTACCGAATGTTTGCAATTTTTTAATAAAAATTGAGATATTTTCATTGTTTTCGGATTTATCTCAAGTTCCTGAGCTTCTAAGAGACATTTTCACATTGTCTAATGATGCTGAGTTTCATATTCAGCCTGAATTGAAATTTAGTAGTATAGTTATCAAATTTCCAATCTACTAAAAAAAACGTTTACGAAACAGTGGGGGAAAAATGCATATAACCTTCTGCAACTTCACCTCGTCAAGAAGTCCGTTATCAAACTAGACCTCCCTATCCTCCAACTCGAAATTCCGAGATAGACGAGAAACATAGTTGAGCCAATATTGATCAAGTAAAAAAAAACACCCCCCATTACGTGCCATATTTCGAAAAATATTAATTTTGGCATTGCCTTCTAATATGCTTTATACATGTAGTACACATTAAGAGAAATTCATAGGTGCAAACTAAATCCAATCAAACGAACAAATTTCGAGATAGAAGAGAAACAAAGTTAAGCCTATAATGATCAAGTACAACCCCCCCTTACCAGCCAAACTTCGAATAATATTAGTTTGGCATTTCCATCTAATATTCTGTAGTACACATTAACAGAAAATCATAGGTGCAAACCAAACCAAATCAGACGAAGAGTTTCCGAGATAGACCAGAAACAAAATTCTGCCTATTTGATCAAGTACAAAACACCCCCCGCCCACTGCGTAAAAAATTTCGAAAAATATTAATTTTGTCACAGCTATCTGATACTCAGTATACATGTAGAAAACATTTAGAGAAATTCACAGGTGCAAAACAACAATACGACGAAGAGTTTTCGAGATAGACGAGAAGAAAAGTTGAGCATATAATCTACTTCAAAACACCCTCCCTTTACACGGAAAATTTCGAAAAATAATAATTTCACACTGCCATCTATTACTCAGTATACAAGTAGAACACATTGAATGAAATCATACGTGCAAACCAAACTCCAATCAGACGAAGAGTTTTCGAAGAGAAGCAAAGTTGAGCCTACAAAGACCACGTACAAAATACACTCCATTACGTGCCAAATTTGGATATATATTAATTTCGGCACTGCCATCTGATACTCAGCATACATGAAAAATACATTAAAAGAAATTCATAGGTGATAACAAACTCCAATCACACAAAGACTTTTCGAGAAAGACGAGAAAGAACGTTAAGCCTATAATGATTACGTACAAATTACACCCCCATTACGTGCCATATTTTGAAATATAATAATTTTTGCACTGCCATCAGATACTCAGTACACTTGTAAAACACATCAAAGAATTCATACGTGCAAACCAAACTCCAATCAAAGGACGAGTTATCTAGATACACGAGTAACAAAGTTGAGCCTCTTATAGTCAAGTACAAAACACCCCCCCCCCATTACATGCCAAATTTCAAAAATATTAATTTTAGGTCTGCCTTCTTATACTCAGTACACTTGTAAAACATATTAAAAGAAATTCATAGGTGCTAACCAGACTACAATCAGACAAATAGATTTCGAGTTAGATGAGAAACCAAATTCAGCCTATAATAATCAAGTACAATACACCCTCCATTACGTGCCAAATTTCAAAAAATTTAATTTTTGCACTACCATCTGATACGCAGTATTAGTAAAACACAATAAAAGAAATTCATAGGTGCAAAAATAAACTTCAATCAGACAAATAGTTTTCGAATTAGACAAGAAAAAAGTTGAGCATATAAAAATAAAGTAACCCCCCCCCCCATTGCAAGCCAAATTTCGAAAATATTACTTTTGTCCCTTCAATATAATACTCAATATATAAGTAGAACACATTCAGAGAAATTGATATGTGCAAACCAAACTGCAAACAGACATTTAGTTTTTAAGTTAGAGGAGAAACAAAGTTGAACCTGTAATCATCAAATAAAAAACACCCCCCCAAAACGTGCCAAATTTCGAATAAAATTAAATTTGAAACTGATAATTCATATTCTGAATACAAGTAGAATATATTAAGAGAAATTCATAGCTGCAAAGCAAACTCGAATCAGACAAATAGTTTTCGAGTAAAACGAGAAACCAAGTTGAGGCTATAATGATCAAGAAAAAACACCCCCCCACTACGTGACAAATTTTGAAAAATATTAAATTTGGCACTGATAATTCATATTCTGAATAAAAGAAGAATATATTAAGAGAAATTCAAAGGTGAAAACTTAACTCCAATGAGACAAATATTTTTCGAGTTAGACGTGAAACCAAGTTGGAACTATAATAATCAAAAACAAAACACCCCCCCACTACGTGCCAAATTTCGAAAAAAATTAAATTTGGCACTGATAATTCATATTCTGAATACAAGTTGATAATAATAAGAGAAATTCAAACATAAAAGCTTAACTCCAATCAGACAAAAAGTTTTCGAGATAGACGAGAAAAACTTTGAGCCTATAATGATCAAATAATAAATAACCCCATTTCGTGCCGTTCGAAAATTAATAGTAGTGTCACTGATAATTCATTTTCTGTATTCAAGTAGTACACATTAGGAGAAATTCTTAGGTGCAAACCAAAATCCAATCAGACAAATAGTTATCGAGTTAGACGAGATAAAATTTGAACCTATAATTAACATCTACAAAACAACCCCCCATTTCATGCCAAATTTAAAAAAATAATAATTTTGTCACTGATAATTCATTTTCTGTATTCAAGTAGAATACATTAAGAGAAATTCATAGGTGCAAACCAAACTCCAATAAGACAAATAGTTTTCGAGTTAAACGAGAAACCAAGTTGAGGCTATTATAATCAAGTACAAAACACCCCCCACTACGTGCCAAATTTCGAAAAATATAAAATTTGGCACTGATATTTCATATTCTGAATACAAGTAGAATATATTAAGTAATATTCAAAGGTGAAAATTTAACTCCAATCAAACAAAAAGTTTTTGAGTTAGACGAGAAAAAATTTGAGCTTATAATGATCAAATACAAAACACCCCCCCATTACGTTCCAAATTTCGAAAAATATTAATTTTTGCACTTATAATTCTAATTCTGTATACAAGTAGAATACATTATAAATAATTAATAGGTACAAACCAAACTTCAATCAGACAAATAATTTTCGAGCAAGACGAGAAACAAAGTTGAGCCTATAATGATCAACTACAAAACACCCCCCCATTACGTGCCAAATTTCGAAAAAAATTAATGTTTGCACTAAATATATTAATATTCTCTATACAAGTAGAACGCATTAAGACAAATTCATACGTGAAAAGCAAACTTCGTTAAGAAAATGGTTTTCGAGTTAGACAAAAAACAAAGTTAAGTCTATAATGATCAAGTTCAAAACGCCCACCAATAACGACCCAAAATTCAAAATATTAGTTTTAGCACTAATAATTCATATTTTGCATACAAGTAGATTATATTAGGAAAAACTCATAGGGGCAAACCAAACTTCAATTAGACAAATAGATTTCGAGTTCCACGAGAGACAAAGTGTAGCCTATAATGATCAACTACAACCCCCCCCCCATTTCTTGCCAAATTTAGACAAATATTAATTTTGGCACTTATTATTCTAATTCTGTATACAAGTAGAATACATTATGGAAAATGCATAGGTGCAAACCACACTACAATCAGACAAATAGTTTTAGAGTTAGATGAGAAACAAAGTTGAGCCTATAATGATCAACTACAAAACACCCCCCCATTACGTGAAAAATTTCGAAAAAAATTAATTTTCGCACTAATTCTTCTAATTCTGTATACAAGTAGAATACATTATGAATAATTCATAGGTGCAAACTTAACTCCAATCAGACAAATAGTTTTCGAGTTAGACGAGAAACAAAGTTGAGTCTATAATGATCAACCACAACCCCCCCCCCCATTACTTGCCAAATTTCGACAAATGTTAATTTTGACAATTATTATTCTAATTCTGTATACAAATAGAATACATTATGGAAAATTCATAGGTGCAAACCACACTACAATCAGAAAAATAGTTTTCGAGTTAGACGAGAAACAATGTTGAGCCTATTAAAATCAACTACAAAACACCCCCCTATTACGTGCCAAATTTCGAAAAATATTAATTTTCTCACTAAAATTTATATTTCTGTATACAAGTAAAATACATTATGAATAATTCATAGGTGCAAACTTAACTCCAAACAGACAAATATTTTTCGAGTTAGACGAGAAACAAAGTTGAGTATATAATGATCAAGTACAAAACATCCCCCCATTACGTGCCAAATTTCGAAATAGTAATTTTGGCACTAATTATTCTAATTCTGTATACAAGTAGAATACATAATGAATACTTCATAGGTGCAAACAAAACTCCATTCAGACAAATAGTTTCCGAGTCAGACGAGAAACAAAGTTAAGCCTATAATTATACACTACAAAACACACCCCAATTATGTGCCAAATTTCAAAAA